CCGCACACCCACTGAACGCCAGAAAATAATGAAGCATTCCAAGGCATCCAGGGCGGGACCAGGATGCTACCCGAGTTCCTGATCAGCCTAGGCGTAAAACAGACAATTCTGGAAGCTCATGAGCGCAGAAACCGTGGTAGACCAAAGTGTGCCAAACTGACGACAACACACAGCTCGGTCAAGCTTGAAGGTTTCCGAGCGCTGGAGTCAGCGAACTGTGTCCGAAAGCTTGCGCCCTGTAATGTTCCGTCAGTATGGTCTATGGTCAAGGAGGACACGGAACTGGTACAGGTGGTGAAGATCTTTTTGGCCTCTATCCCTGCATGGAGCACGAAACCCCTCATTCCTCCGAACGCTTCAGAGCGTACGGCTCAGTCAGATGCCACTCCATCTATGGAAGAAGGTTCATAGATAGGTATAAAGGGTGTCGTCACAAAGAGACTGGACCTTACCGTGGTGTGACGGTTTGCGTACCTCAGCGGTTCATTGAGCTATACTGGAGAGTGTCCCGCGACACTCACAGAGTCTCTCATACCAGGTTGGTCAATGATTCGAGGTCTGACGAACACAGACTCCTGGCCCTCCAGGTTGGGGGTTGGAACATGTGACGACTTGTTCCGTAGAAATGGTAATGCATTTGCATTTCCCGCCAAACACCGCTGCCTTGCGGTTAGGCTTTTGAGCCAGACTTTGGTTGATGACCCTAATCGTCCTCCTGTCTAGGTGTGGACGCCCTGGCAATATCCCAGCCCACGTACAACCATAAACTGCACATACACAAATAAACCGTCGCGTGATGCCATCAGCCGGGTCGCCTTACTTGCTGCATACAGTAGGGCGGGTAAGTGAAAACAGGCTACTGCTGACGCCTCCCTTCTTTCTCCCTATGGCGGTGAAACATCGGTGTTTAACATTGACGTCATGCTGTCGATGATGATGATAAAGGCAAGTAGCCATGAATTTACGAAACCTTAGGACACGTGCCAATCAAACGTCGCTGAGCACACTGACTCTGGGGAATGTGTTATCCCATTTAGTTTAGAAAACACCCGAATTTACTTTTGCACGGGCAGGGAACCTTATTCTAAACGTTGCTCAGTCTGAAAACGGGTAACTATGGGCGATGGCTCTGTCAGACATTTAATGAGATTGGCATTTACGAGGCTAAACGCTCAAAAGAAAAATTAAAGAGGCTTAATCAGCTTCCTTCAAAAATAGAATTTAGAGTACATGTCATTTCGGCATAGAAAATTAGTTATCACTCTGTCCGAATGACAATCCTCAATAGTCTCATTTGTCTGACATGTTGCAAGCATACAGGTTATCAGCGCTTTGCACTTTTAAAAACTACGCCATCTGCTGATGCTGATTTACTCAAATTTCTGTTCCTCAGTAAATTCGCCGATACTGATGCACGACGATACAGACATGTGTGGGTGACTGCGTAGAACTGTCCAGTGAGCGGGAAACACTAGTAAATTTCAGATCTAGTCGGACTACTTTTATGGACACTTCTGATGGTCCAAAGTCGTGATTTTGCATCCATAAAATTTCTTTTCTTGAGAAAAATTAAACAAGCGGAAAAGGTGACAAGAGTACGCACTGGAAAACATAACAAGACAGACACCACAATACAGGTGTGAGTGAGTGGGGGGAGGACTTCAAATGTGCAACACTGATGAGATACCCTTATCCGGTGCCACGTGTTTTCAAAAAAATAGGTTTATCTGTAATGCACTACTCATAAAGTTGCTGAAAATTCCTCGACAGCCCACGACCGGTTTCGCCCTTCTTGGGGCTCATTAGGTAGGCGCAGTCCCCGAGCTTCCGTCAACGTTATGTTCTACTTGAAATCAGACTGCATGAAGTTAACGAATATGCACTCATTTGCAAACTAATTTGGTTTTTCGAGAGACCCACCTAGAACCCAGCTGAGTCTCCCGGTTTTGATGTTCCCAGGCGCGCGAATGTGCTGTACCAGGCCGCCTCATGTTTCAGTCGCTACGATATTCATTTATTTGTTTAGTTATTTGCTTTCCTTATCGATATGTGAAATTTCATGTCTTTTTTCAAACGATTTCGGTCTGTTAATACAGGTAGTGTTATTACTATAAATAACAGCCCGCGGATAAATATTTTGTAGAGCTAATAGAATTGTTGGTTCGGATAGTTTTCCACTAATTACTCGTTGGCCGTATGCTTTGTACTCATTCTAGCTGTTTTATTTTTGTAGGAATTTCGGTTATGATCCGAGGAATTACGGGAGGTAAACACATGTAGCGATTCAATTCATCCTATTGATGTTTTCTGGTCCCTAATATCAGCTTTTAGAGACACATAAGATCAAGCCGGAAAACACTGGACCGTTTTTGTCACACCAGCTTTTAAAATGAGTCGGACGGACCATCTCAACATTAAAACGGTGAAGTTGAAAACACCCACTAGATGGTAAACTCTAGTCACCAGAATGCCAATTGCGATGGTCAAATATTGTTGAGATGACAGCGTCCCCCTGTTCAGTATAAACGTTTAATGAACAAAGGGTGTAGTAGAATGTGAAAAAAAGTGCACGTTGCGACCATCCATGTTGCTTGAGTTTGTAGCTCCACCCCTAACAACACCAGCTTTTCCAAAACACGAATGGTGTCGAGGCCCTAACGGTGACTGATTTTGCGTACGACCAAGTGTGCCCACAGCATAACAGCAATGGTTCAGTCCCACTCCGACAAATCACTAACAGTTAACTTTTCTGCCAAGCCAATGTGTGTCTCTCGGTACCACATCTGATTTTATAGTAGATGTACATGTTAAAGGAACGATTTCAGTTCGTTCCAAAGTGGGTATATTCGCTTCATCCCAACTGCCTGCTACGAATGAGTACTGACGAAGGAGATAAAATTTGTGACTTCTAAACATACGTTTGGTTTTGAGTCAAAGATTTTGGTGTTCCGTTATTCATCCAGCACTGCCTATTTGACGGGGTTTGTTTTAGCTGAAGTTAAATCGATGATAACTTTACAGCGCCCATGACAAATGCAGTCGGTCAGATTGATTACTGTGTGTTAGTTTGTATGTCTCATTTCGGCTCACGTGACCAGAGCCTCGGTTCATTAGGCGAACTGACCAGCCTATCTCGGTCGATCGATGATACGATTGTGACCGTGCATCAAAGCGGAGGATCGAACTTACCCTGACTAGCTAAAATCCACTCACTGGTTTCGCGTTTACACAGCTCAATAAGGCCAAACTTTATCTCCGCAAATGTTAAGATGTACAAGTCATCGGCAGCCACAATGATGCACACAAATTAGTGTGTAAATCCAACTGCAGTTGTTAATTAGGGGACAGATGTATCTAAACCAGCAAAGTCCCCTGTCAAGTAACTGGTCGAAGTACTTATCTGTGTGACTCCCAAGAGCCCTATTTTGCAATACCACCCGATCTTATGACGACCAGTTAACTCAACAAATACACAAAACACAAAGAATCTTATCTATCACGGCACTACCCACTCAGTCCCGTTGGTTAAGATAGAAATCTTGTGGTAAAAGACGTACACCTTGCTTTTTTTTGGATCGTTCGTCCTCGTCGAACAACGTCTCTTCCCTGGTGAAACTTTAATGGATTCAAGAAGGAACGGCGACTTCCAGCCCATTAACCCAGATTTTATCAGGAATTCCACGCCCGAATTAAACCGTGGTATCAGGAGGCACGATGGCGTCTGCAAAACACATGGTTTTTCATGTCCTCCCAGGTTATTGAATAAATAAACGACGAATAAGTGCGCACATGCTGAGGCCAGCAACGGCTTAACGGCAGTGCTTGTCTGAGAGTTTTAGTAAGCTAACTAGTGTCTCGACACCAGAAATGCCCAATCACGGCTAGGGCTGGCGATACAGCGTTAAAAAATTGGGGATTGTGAAACGAACTCGGGAAGTAGAGCTGAAAAGTACGTTAGAAAGCGACCCCCTTGTCCCAGGCAGAACCGTCCAAACGAACTTATCTGTTTTAAGAGCTGTAAGGTATCAGGTGAGGATGCATAAGTAATTCAGTCAAAGCTGAGACGTTCTTGTTCATTTGGCTCAGTCTTGTTTTTAGCTTTTACTCAATACACCCGCGACTCATGCGAGCGAAGATACATGTTATGCAGGCTAAGCTCCTTCAGCAGCTCCTTCGACAGCACGCTACCGGTTTCGTCCTTCTTATAGACAAATCATGTAGTTTAGGTTCCAGAGTTTCATACTCCTCTTGAACACCAAAATTTATGTGGCTGGAGAAATACATTTGTTTGCACGTTGGTGCCGACTAGAAGGGCGAAACAGGTAGTACTAAATTATGAGTAGTGCGTTACGTCAAGGTAATTCACCTTGATATCTAGAGTAAATCGCCTCAAATGAAACATCAGGCGATTTTCATGCAGTATATTCAGTTGAAGAGGTTGAAGCTGATCGACACCATCAACAACCAGATCTAAAATTTCAGTTATCCCCTGTCCAGCGGACAAAGGTATTGCAGTCGTATGCATTGAAGACCGCTACATTAGTGTACAACTATCAGACACACGCTGTTGTTTTCTCCCACCTAAATTGATAGTTCCTTCCGGATTAGTTAGCCATGTGGAAATAGTCGCACGAGAGCAACAAAAAGTGATCTCTTCCGAAAGTCCATCCCTTTTGAATGGTCTCCTCGGAAGGAGGAAAACATCTTGGAACCATAGAGATTTCATTCGACAATCTTATCAGTTACAAGGTGAAACAATATTTTTTCAAAAAGCTATCAAATGTACTTAACCAGCTGATTAAAAGTGACCAACACCGGGGCTTCGTACAACTTGGCGACTACAGTTGACGACGTTTACGTAAAATTATGCGCCCCCCAAAATATAGCACCACAACACCAGCAAAGACTCCGGAGACAGAGTGATAATTTAACAAACATGGTTGAAGGGTAGTGGAGCGTATGGCAAATAGTACAAAAGAATCACGGAACAAGCAACTCACTATGAATTCCTTATACCATTTCTTAATTTGGTGTTCACTGAAATGAGTTTTCTGTACGAGTTTCTTAACTTCCCCTTTCGGTAATGATTTCGTCGGGAGAATAGCACCCATAATGTCCTTCTTCAGTCTATGGTACACGAACAAGAGAGGACCCAAGCGTTCGGGCAAGCTTGCTATTTCGCCGTTTGAAATCTGTCTAGCCGAGTAAAAACCAGACAGGCTTGGTCGGTCAGCCCCCGTATCCAACTTCGATCCAACAGAAACGCGTTCGGCACTGGGATGTATGACCCGGGTGCGGCGATGGCAACACGAGGACGTGTCATCACACTTTTAACACGAACATATGTCCTGCATGTGTCTGTGTTCATACATGTGAACGAATCAGCGCTCGGTTTGGCTAGCCAATCAGTCGGGCATTAGTCCATTAGTGGGTTCGCTGATGTGGCATTCGTTGCAGCACACAGGGATAGGTCGAAATGGATTTGACCTTAATGTGCGCCACTGCGATAGGCAATTGGGTTGACATTGTGCCCCAGTTTGCACCTTCTAGCTATAAGCCTGTATCCGGACTGCACCAATCATGTCTACGTTTTTATCGTAGTTATTTGGGACTACATTGCAGTGTGACTACGTTGTCACTGTGATGAGGCCAACGAGGGTTCCCTTGCATACGTCGTAAGTGCTTGTTGCTTGGATCAGGTTGGAACACAGCGATGATGAGTACCAGAGGAAAATGACGGGACATGAAAACGTGATGGCATTGGGTCATCCTTTCTTATGAAAACCAAATGGGTTTAAAGGTAAACAACCAGTGTGCCAATTATTGGGTACATCCGAACCAAACATAACTCTCACTCATTGCAGGTGGACTTGTTAATATACAGTCGAAATATAGAACCTATTTGTCTTCGAATAGAAGCATTGCTTATCATGAGTAGCCAAGCTCACGCTCATTCCACATACACTCATTGCACTATTCTCTCTCCCACTGAATTTGGGGCTCTATATGTCTGTAACATATCCAAATATAAAGTCTTCCGAGTTATCATTTACTGTCGTCCGTAAAGCATCCACCATGACATCTCTACTTAGGGAAAAATACAGCAACTAAGACGAAGTCAAATGAAATAGTTGAAATCATCCAGAATTCTTATCCACTCTTATAATAAAGGGCATTACCCTGTCACCGGTCGAATACCGTGTGTTGTTAAGCTATCGCCTCACAAATTTATTCTATTTAAACTCAACCGGTGGACAATTTTCTCCGGTGAGCCTCCTACCCCTCCGATAGGGAACTAATGATGAAGTCAACTGCATGAACTACAAATAGCAAAGAATAATCACATGTTACGCATGCAGTAAATCAATATTTTATTGAGGGGAATAACATAACTGTTAATTACGTGACGTAATTATTTGTCTTCCTATTCCTCAGGCTAATTCATTACCCTTCCGGTGACCGATCCAGTTTCAAGACTGTACTATTCTATTTTATACAAAGTCAATTCTACATTGACAGTTATTCTTTATTATTTGTTTTCATGACTCGATTTATTCACACTCATTTCTGAGTTTGTTGTTGAACATTTTGTATCACTTTAACCTGCACAACATTCTTTCCGCTTAATTTGCACACAGCCCTTTCTGTGCCATCTTATATTGCTAACTGTCCAAGGCTAAATCCAGCCGTAAGCCTTCATTTAATTCTGCTCATTATTTGGTGTTATTTTCTTATAGAACCACGGTCTACCTAACCAAACTCTCTGTCTACGTCTAATTCAATATATTGTTCGCTGCCCACTTGCGACTATTGACCAAAGGCAGGTGAAGGCCGTAGAATTCGGTTTCGCCGCAGTTATTACTGACCATCCGCCATTGAATTAGACTACACGTTACCCGTCAGATAGGACAGCAAGATTATGCGCTTAGGCTAATTAACCAATTCCCTGCTTTGAGATCACGGCCTTAGCACAGGATCGTACAATAACCATTCCCCGGAAGGCGTTTTTTTAGCGTTTGTTTACTGGAATTGTCAAACAGATGGATTATACGCGATTAACCCAAAGTTTACCATAACCGAAGGAGGAATAGAACAAGTTTTTCACGAAAACCTGGGAGGCATTCTGTATTCGTTGTGTCAGCATTCCCACTTTTGTAACCAGTTTGCGTAATAAGGTTCTGCTTTTGAGGAAAACACTATTGAGTAAGCTATTTTCACCGGAACAAAGTGAATAATTACTTCGATATTGAATTCCCTATTTTGACTTCTAGAGCCTACGTGATTCGAAATCAGACTTTAATTTGAATCAACCGCGGAAAACACTGAATAGAACTTCCGACAGCTTAGAGTTACGGTGCCATCTGATTTGAAATTATTTCTAGGCCTCGATTCGCCTCTTGGGTTACATGAATAAAGTTTGGTAATCATGGACGGTTGATAGAATATTGCTCAATGTCAAAATCTAGCGTGTTTCACTAACACATAGCCTTAGTGTTCTTTATCCGCATTGCAAGTCACTCATCTGATCTCCTTTAAAACTCCTTTTTCTGCTGATATGTGTGCTAGTTATGTCAAAATATAATGTGACTATGGTGCTGACGTTTTTTGGACAAACAGCAAAATGCATCAGGATGTCTGGCTTGAAACCGGTGAGACAGGAAAATTGGTTTGATCAAAGTGAGGAAAACAGAAGGATAAGTGTTGTTCCTCGGAGCGGATTCCACTTCGGACTTATTTTTACACACGAACTTGCCATTTAGACTCTTCTCATAATCCAGTTAATTCGGGTTCCGTAGTATGCCTTTTTCCCCCAAAGTATTTCACACCTTTCTGTCAGAAATAGACTCAAAAATAAAGAACTGTCACAGGGGTTTGAAACATCACAATCTGATTACCTGCTGGGACTAGAACTTCCAAACTCTTCATGGGATATTGCAGGTGTTCTCTTGCAGTGAAGAAGTCAGTTTTTAGCAGTCCGGAAAGGTGAAAGCTATGCTGCGTTTATTCTACACAGTTCGAATTTTAAGTTTTGCGAACATGGAGAATAATTTTCCATATGGTTGGAGCTCAAGCTACTGGAGAGTGTATGATCCTCTTAAAGAACAGAACAACTGTCCAACAACTAATTTTTTGTGTGGAAATGAATTTACGTAAACAAATGATTTGAATGAAATGAACACGACCATTTTTTAGAGCTTGGTTGACACAATGAGAATTTATTGGTTTAATGACAAGAATTTCACTAACCTTGATGGTTAGGGAGCTGTGACTAATTTAGTTGTGATTTTTCATGTCACAAGCAGCGAACTCTCTGAAATAGTCGTTTACCGTTTCTAAATGCGTATGTTTATTTTACCAATCCAAACATCTCAGCGATTTTTAAACGATAAGGGAAAAATGTGGTGAGCATTTGCACTGCTTTATCAGGTCGGAATTACGAAATAAATATATTGCATATCAAGAACAGAATTATGAGTCGTATTAGAGTCACATCATCCGCTTTAACGAGGAGTTGAGCCTTCTGTATGACGTTTTTCACCCATTGTGGGAGAAATACAGATGAATTTAAGGGGTTCTTGTTCACGAGTGAAATAGAGATAAACAATAAACACCCAGTTCTGATCAGATGAAATTAAACATCACTGAACTATTTTCGAGAAGTACACGCATTTGCAAATCAATTTGGTTTTCACAAGTGACTCAAAAGAATAGAATAGAATATCATAAACGAGAGATTCAGTTGAGTCTCTCGTGAAAACCGAACTGATCTGCAAATGAGTGTATTTCTCGAAAACAGTGCAGTCTGTGTTCAAGCAGATTATAAGGTTGACGGAAACTCGAGGACTGCGCCTACCTCATGAGCCCCAAGAATGGCGAAACCGGTCTTGGGCTGTCGAGGAGTTTTCAGCAACCTTGTGAGTAGTTTCCTTTATCATTGAACTATCTTTTTATGTCATAGGCGCGTGTGAAAGTTTGAGGCTTCAAATGCCTGTTTGCTAGGGCTGCACGGTAAATTCCGAAAGGGAGATCCGGGACTGGGTTTATCTATAAATTTCAGGTTTAGTCTTACCTCAAACCATAGAGATTTGTAGTAAAAAATGCCGCATATTCACCCGCCACTTTTCTACTGACGAAGAATTTGGTTGAGATATTTTCATGAATGCGGCCGGAACCGTCTCTTTGTCCGGGCTCCTTATAATTCACTCATCAGAAGTACACCTTCCGGTGTCATCTTGTGCATGAGCAGTTTAAAGCAGACAGGTAAGTCCGGGAATATGGTCTCTACTTATCCGTCCAACAGATGAAAAAAACCTAAAAAATCTTCTTGTAGGTGTGTCAAGCCCACCCGCGTTTGACAGTAGGAAGCCACAGGAATGACTGATTCCTTTTTTCCCAGAGAGTAAGTTATGAATTCATCATTTGACTGTCCTCTGTGGTTTATCTTTGCAACGCGATTTTAGCGAATTCCTCACACAAATTATTTAGCTGCAGTTGACAGCTGAAGGTCAACACGCGCATGATTTTAACTACAAACGAGGTGCTTTCGAAACCCATTCATCGAGTAGAAGACGGCAAACTGTACCCGGATGCATACACCCTCCTATCCACAAAGTAGACGATATTGAAGACATGGTTGCCGACATAATCGGTGAGTGACGACGATTTTACCGGAATCATTTATACCAACAACGTTGAGCACGTCACCGATTTCACAAGGTGCTTTGAGTGTGTGTTGTGCGCTCACAGCTTGATCAACAAGAACGGAAGAAAGTTGTTTGGATGTTCACGTCAACATTCTAAGGTAGCTTTTCTCTCCAGGAATCGCGTTATTCATCCCCTTTATGAAAGTTTTAACTTTTAAGGGTCCACTTTAAAGAAGAGGACGTATTTCACTACTTGCCCATCGAAAAGTCACTTAAACAATTCGCTTTCAAGCTTCCTAGTAGAATATAAAGTAATACCGACTGCCTTCGCTACCACATGGCTTGCTTACTAAACCAAGTAAATACTACTACCTTAAATAGTGCCCCCGATAAGTAAATAATCTGCTGAAGGCTAAATATTCGTCAAAACAGCCTAATGGAAAACAGTGTCAAATCCTTCTTGTTAAGATGACCCATTGTCGTACTTGCTGTTTGGGGGTGTGGATGCCAACTTACGTGCTAATATAACACTAAGCACTTTTCAAATTAAACCATATCTTAGGGAAATACACTCATTTGCAACCCAACTGGAACCCAGCTGAACCTCTCGTTTATGGGGAGAGCGGTGGTGGGGTGTCGGACGATTTTCAGCGACCTTATGATTAGGGTACTACGAAACCGTATATTCTTCTTGCTTATTTCATTACACATTCTGACACACTGACACTGTGTGACGAAAGCGGGCGCATTTGGAGGCAAATTCTTCAAGTGACGTAATGAATACTGACGTCAGGCACCTGTGCTCAATATATTCACGTCAAATTCATGTCATCATTTACTGATCAACTTAAGTATTCAGGCATATCCACTTCTCTATGACTATCTGCTTCCCACGTAGCTTTCGTCAGACTCTGGTAGCCAACCATCCGTGTTTTTCGAAAGAACGTCATAGTGTTCAGTGTCCTGGGTTAAAGTAATTGTGCTCCCTGAGGTGGCCGCAACAAGAGATTGATAATTAACTAACTTACATGTTCACATTCCACCTTCGGAGCTCCCAGTATCTCACCCAACCGGTGTTCCCCTTCATCCAAGAAACTTTGCAATTTAGGTGGCGTGGTCTTACGAACATCCAACGCAGACTTGCAAGGGGCGAAGTATGCTTCCAAGTCGGTGAACCTGTGCTTCGTCGCGTCCACCTGCGCTGTTACCGTGGTTCGCATCACAAGCTCTTCCACGGGTTCTCGGAAGCTTCGAGCTCAGTTGAAGGTTCGGGATCTGACTGTGTTGTGTCATGCACAAACGTTCGGGGTTCGGCAACAACCGGCTGCTGAATCTGCAACAAAAAATGGAGACCGACGAAAAGACGCCGATAAAATAGAATAGCTAAATATCGACAAGTATTGTACTCACGCAGAAAAATAGATGAAGGGCATAGAAGGGAAGCATAGAAAGTCTGCACCGGGCGCAGAAAAGTGGGGACAGGTTTTGAGAGTTGAGAAATCTGTACCAAGCTTACATCTCACCAGGCAGTTTGGCTGCCGTGGTTGTTTGTCCCAGTTTGGTCGGTTAACGACACGATATGTCACTAGTGCATGGGTGGGAGAATAAGCTTGTAGACGAAACAGTGTAGAACGAAGGAAGTAATAGACTACTGAAACGGACACACCGGAAGTACCGCAGAATCACGAGTGACTGACACAATGTACCGACGGGAGCCATCATCCGTGGAAAAAAGCTGTTATATCACTATGCAAAATCCGCGCAACAGCTTCTAAAGGAAGTTCCCAGAGTTGGTAGATAAACGCGCAATCGAAGTCGACCACAAACCCCGGTTGAACACCATAAAGTTGTTTGAGCGCCTTAAACCAGGCGTTTCGGCCTGTTAACTGTCTTATGTATCACTGTCACCTGCAGTGTACTACTCACTATTCGAACAAAACTGTAATACGCCATTTACGGAGGATGTAAGCTCGTCCAAAGTGAACATGCAAGCGTATTTTACTATAAGAAAACGTTGTTCCAGACGGTTAGAGCGGCGGCACTGTCAACTTTTGGTACTGCTTAAGAACACAATGTTCGGCGAACAAAACTCCTTGTGGAATACACATCCAGTCGCAAACGGAGCATCAGTTGGATTTCTAAAAGTTCAACTAGAACGATCTGGGGTGCGTTTTTCTAGGACCTGTTGTGGGAATCCAACCAGTGCTTCGCTAGTTACTCGGTATAAATCACTTGGAGTTTAAAAAAAAAACAGAACGGGATTGAACAAGTTTATTCGTCGCGGTAACGTCATGTACTACTGGGCTTGTGGTCTATGTTTTGCGTGATGATCGACATTCGTGACCAGATGCATGGGACGCTATTAAGCACTATGGCAGTGACCACCAATCCATTTATTGTGGTTTTATGGTCATGTGACCTACTTTGTTTGAGGGAACTACATGTGGTTCGGCTGAGAACACATTCATTGACGTTACTGTTCAGTGGAGGTGAATCGCATGATGGTTAGTATTGGCTTGGTGATGACAAACTTTCTCGGGGTATTTCTGATCAGTCGTCAAGACCTAGGACTCCGGAGTTGGCCAGCCAAAGAATGTCCTTATAGTAAGGCACAAAAGTTCTATGATGTAACCGATACTAAGTATAGGCATTGGAGAATTCATACCAATCAAAATAAATAAAATGACTACAATCTCCTTAATAAATGCGGTGAGCAAAGTTGTCCTCTGCAGGCGTCATCAATTGAATCATCCTACTGGTTTAAATACTTCTGCCTGTGACTAGTGAAGTGCTTGGAAATTCAGACGCATCCACAGTTGGTATGACTCGATCCGTTTGCCCGTTATGAGGGAATCCGTTTGGGGAGACGATCAACAGTGGTCCTTCCAATGTTATAGAAAATATCATTGAGAATAAGAAGAAAGGAATATAGACAAACAGATTTTCTGGGGTCTCCACGGTTTCAAAGCTGTAATGCTGATAGAAAATAGAATTTGTGAAAGCCATTTTGAATGTCTTTGACTGTCAATTATGCACAAGGTATAATGTAAGATGTTTTGAAGCGCATATTCATGGTGAAATGGGATTATTGCTATCTGGATCTTTGGTGGAGATCAGTCAGACGGGTAACGGACAGCAACACGCTGCGTTTTCCTCAGCCAGAAGGGCGCTACACCGTAACATGACTGTTTCGTCACTGGTTTGCACTGGCCGTGATAATGTACTGGCGATGGATGCAGGTGATTACTCGCATACGTGACAGAAACACGTGATTTGATCTTGTTGGTTGGTTGCATCGATTTTCGGGAATTTGCACTGCAGTGACGGCGTGAACGGTCGCCCGAAATGCACCCATGTGGTTCAGCTGATCACTGGCTACGCCCGCCAAGGAGAGTTGTAGACTTGTATAACGGGTGCAGTTGAAAACAAACTATAGCTGTAGGTCTCAACCAATCGTTGGAAAGAATGTTTTAACCTTCTTACGGTTGCTACAAGCAGGAGAAATTGACACCAAATGTTGCGCCGTCGGTCGGTCGTTCAATTTCATGTGCATTCCAATACTATTTTGAGCGTCCTGGTTTTAATGCATCCCCAAGGGATACGTTTGCTATATTTCATTTAGATGTACATCAATGCCATTAGCTGGTCCAAAAATAGAAAGAAAAAAGTAAATGTGTATAAGTCAGATCATATCAAGTATATGCAGGCTAGGACCTTCGGCTGAGAAAGAGCGAAGAACACATCGAAAATGACGAATGCTTATCCAACTTACTCATGTCCTGAAAAAAACTCAAGCACGAATCAGCAAATAGCAACTTACCCGCTACTGAGAAGTAGGACAGGATCTGACGTCTACCTAAATACCGCAACAGAATCACCGAGGCAGACATTAGACCTTCGGGGGATTGTTTTGAAGAGGTAAAATGACCGATTTTAGGGTATACGGAAGTCTTTATAGATAGGATACGAATCCCGTTATCTGTGAAGTATCCCCGTTTCTCTGCAACACGGAGCACACCACTGGGAAATTCCAGTGACTCGCGGTCGCTAGAATAATTGATCCACGACATGTGGAAGTACACGTGCTATATTATACCATATTTGGTTTTATGAGCAAATCTACTGATCACCTTCAATTTGGGGTGTTTAGCGATTGGTCGAAATGAAGAGCTGAATCTCAACTTAACACAATTGCTGGCAGAGTGCTAGTGAGTGACAGAAACTATATGATGTTTGGCTTTATAGTGAGCAGGAACGGTGCAAAGAGTTTCTCGATCCGGGTCAGTCAGGCAGTCTAATTCTCCCAATTGAATGAATGACTGCTTAAGCACAAAGAAACTGACAGGTCGTTTTGATTGAAGGAAGGAGGCCTTTGCTGCGAGGTTAGTTATTAGAAAATGCCAACTTAAGAGTTTCAGACTATTGAACAGGGGAGCAAAACTCTCATATGCATCTTGTTTACAAAAACTGAATGTGCATCTTCTCTTTGAACGCGTCTTTCTGAACTTTCCTGGATATTCATTGACTGTTGCTCAAATCCAAGCGAATGCTACGAAGCGACTCCACAAATTCCGCAATAGACCTCACTTTTCAAGAGACGCAAGGGGGATTTACAAGAAAACACTACCTGCATGCCTCTTCCATCAGTAGTATCACCGTTACATTGGTAGTGCCTGATCAGCAGTAACAAATACAAAGAAGAGTATCATTTGGCGCTCCAGTTTGCTTAGATGTTTTTGCCTGATTTCTATTGCTTGCAGCTACTTCGTGCCTACTACCAGTTCACGGGTCGTGTAAGTAAGATCTGGGGAGTTGTTTTTGAAGCCTTAGCCACTGGTCACACTTACATTGTGCCGGCACGAAGTTAGTGGACAGGCATGGAGATTCGGAAGATGGAATGAAGAGAAACGTTCACGAAGCTTTGGGATTGCTTCCAATGGGCATGTCGTTTAACACTAAATTCGACTTTGCCTTAAGAGAAATCACACCTACCGAAGTTTTTCTGAGAGGGACGTTAGGAACGCTCAGATGAAACAAATCGCCAGGTGTAACATAACGACAATTTCAAGTCTGCACTGGTGTCCGTGAATCCAGCTGGGCGTCTTTTGTTAGTAAGCGCAACTATTACCACAACTCCGGGTCTTGCGACATTCCAGGTATATGGGACAGCAAAATATTTTTGGAAACTCCTGCAGTAATGATCCTGTCTATGACTATATTATGACTATATTGTCACTGGACACTGTTAGGCATATTTGATTTCCCAATGCAGCTACTGAGGTCACTGAAAAGTGATGCGCCGAAATATCTGCCTTTCGGCTGCGCACGAACATCGGTCGAGTCACTCAGTCTGGACGACACAGGCTGAAAATTTGAGTGTCAAGAGTGAAAAAATAAGTGAATCCACTTCCAAGACCCTGAGCGAAATGGCCTTGGTCGACTTTTATGAAGACCTTTAGCATGCCGAATGGTGGCTTTTATCCACGCCCGTTTTACTGCAAGATACATATACTAGTCAGGGATTTGAAGTTTTATCGCCAGGATGAGAAAAGGCTATATGTCATTCATAAGGAGGAGCCGCCTTATGAGAAGAGTTTAGGTATTCAATACTGAGTTGGCGCAACCTGCACGCTATTAAATGTTCTGCGTAGCGGCTGACCAGTATATTTTATTCAGTAAATAAAAAGATATGTGTAAACAATAACAAAGTATATTTTCATAGCCGAATTTTCCAAAATACTGTAAAATGGCGCCATGATTCCGATCGAAATTGAGGAAGTTTGAATAACTGTTTTACCATTCAACTCTGCTTTTATGCCGCCGCACACATGCTTGTGTTGGTCGGAAACATGCTAATCAGGTGGAAATCGCCAAAATGGTCACCAAATCCAAGCCTCTGACACCGGGAGGGTTGACGATTTCCACTTGATTAGTCTGCTTATTTTTCTCCTATTCCCTGATTCTGCTGTGAACTTCCCTAGCCGTCAGTACTATTTAAACCAAATTGAAGTATATAACAAAATTTGGGGTAGCCAATAACCGGTTAGATTAATTAGACATCAAGTACGAAGGATGTAGTTTTGGTGGTGGTGGACGCCAACAGGAAATGAATTGGGATTGCTGTTATTCCATATGAACCATGGAATTTGGAGGTCTTTCGAAGAGTTCTAAAATCATTTAAAATAAGAGTAGTTTCCCAGAAGGAAAGCACTCTGCGCTCTGCACTGCTGCAATTGCAGGATCGTCTCTCGGTGAGTAGAACCATAGATTGTGTCTACAAAATTAAATTCAACAACTGAAACAAGGCCTGTATGAGACAACCGATAGGAACCTTCACTCCAGAACCGGAGAGAAAAGGAGAGGCATGAACAGACCGCCGAGAAATCCAAATGAATAACGAGCAGTACTGAAAGATTCAGAAATGGCGCACCATACATTGGAAACAGGACACGAAATAAATTTGGGAAATTTTGAGGTTTTGACGTGGGAACAGAATCTGATGGCCGAGGCGCTGGAATTCGCTAAATGTAAATAAAAAAGCGCAGAATTGGCAAACGTGTGGAGAACGGTTTTAGGTCAGTTGAACTGACACTTGTTGGTGTGCGTTTATCGGAAAAAAGAGTCATCAACAAAAGTAGCATAGATCCCCAGTGGACTTAATCTCATCCACTTTTAGCCCAACTCCAAATAAATTGTCGTGACACTTACAAGCCAAAGCTGAATCATCGATTGAAGCACAATGAACCGTATGATTAAGGAATTAAACCCGATCAAAAGTAATTCGAAAAATTCCTCCAACTCAACCCATAATCAACCGCACTAACCGACAAGACCTTTTAACTGACATCCAACACTGATATAGTGTGCCAATCTGAAGAGACCTTACTGATCTTTTCTCTGTCTGGCTTAAAAACCTGGCCATTTTGGTAACCTGCTCATTTGTCCCGATGAAGGTTTTGTGTCAAAAGCGAAACGTCTCCCAGTTAAAAACTACCAACTGTTTACCATTCCCTTCTAAAACGATGGGGTTTCCATTGGTTTCAGACTTGCTCCAATTGATTGGAAACATTTACGTGAGTGAATTCGATAGCTCAACTTGGTCTCTATGTAGCGATTGCTCCTGTTTCGACGGGTGTTTGGTTTACCATTGATTGCAGTTCTTCATCGGAAAGTGTAAGCGGACGATCACGTCCTTTTCATCAGAAGCATGGCCTTATGGTTGGGCTCGTAATGGGAAATATTATATTAGTTTTTCTGAGACAACAAGTGGACTATACTTGATACAAAGTTTGTGACATGCAGTGCTACTTAAAAACTAAGAAAAGCACAGCTCGATTTTGACTTCTTCAAGTGGTTTTCTGAACGAATCCTATCAACCGATTTTCTCTTGCTTAATAACCACTTTGGCCTTAGTTGACGGCATGGGATTGCACCCAACCTGACATTCCTATTTACATCTTCACCTATATCGCGTGTACTTTTTACGTGTAACACAGTGGAAGCAAATCTCGGTTTGCGATTCACAGTTGTGCTTTAGCTTCATTTTGCTGACCCCTTCTTAAGGACAAGATGTTGACTGACTTCAGGTAACAGTTGTTTCGTGTTGTCTGAGTGCCTCCCAACCGAAATATATTATCACCTCAGTCACGAGGGTATTTCAAATTGTTCTAAACATACGCAGTTGAATACTGCTTGCCTGTCTTGTCTCTGAACTTTTGCTAGTCAAGACATGGAGGAAGCGGTTGAATCCTTAATATTCACCTCACAGGCCGAAAGTGGTTACAAAGACATACTCTTCTGGAAGTTAAAGAGAAGTCTAAAGGGTTTACCAAACCCTCCTGAGACCTAAGTATTCAGTTTACGCAGATCAGTTTTGTACAGTATGACAACGTCTTTTATATTTGCTACGACTGCAAGGTGTTTGCTGATCGGAGTCTGGCCTATGGCGTATTTTTGGCTTACTTGATTTGAACCGGTTTTCGTATCGTTCTGCTGCACGGTAACGTCTTTGTTCCAATCCCAGTCTGGATTATTTTCCCACAACCGCTGACCGGTGTGTGGTATGCCTCGCAGGAACAGAATTGTTACGATGATCAATAAAATGATCTCAGCGCATATGCATAGCGTCAAGTTTACATGCCGCGTCCACAATATTTTAGAGCAATTTTTGGGAGCAAAAGAAATAACCCAAAAAACGCATGACAGCCAAAAAAACTCCACTTAACAGGACAGATTACCAATGAACCGAAAAGTTGTAATAATTTGGAGAACAGGCATAGCAGTTTTTGGGGACCGACTAACTCTTCTATTAAGACAGTTTAATCTATTTTATATTTGGTTCATTATCGATCGGTACCCGTTTGACTGGTGTTCAGTCTAAATTACTTGTCGTCCGTCCACGCGTTTGTGAACCCGGCGTAAAACTAATTAATGAGCGTGAATCGGGAAACGGCACGTAAATATTTGTGCAAGTAAACGGGACTATTGTTGTTTTGCCACAACTACACAACGTGGCATGTAAGATGGACAGCTTAGGTAATTAACCGCGACTTCAATTAGACCTAGTACAGACACTGTCATTACTATTACCTTTACAATTACCAGTTACAATTGTCAATACAACAAAGCCATAAAATAATCCAGTTAATTTTGGGGTTGGATTCTGCTAGATGGGATCACAAGCACGGCAGAGAGAGAAGTATTTATTTTTCGTTATTTTCTCGTTCCATTCGTTGTCGAATTCGATATCATCCAATAACGGGTTGGTTATACATAGCACCCCATCCTCGTAGTTCTTCTTTATCCAAAATGGCGATCTGATTTGTCGATGGAAAGAACCACACACTTTGCGAATTATTCACCTATCAGGGCGCTTGAGTTGATTTTAGTATGAGATACCTCAACATTCATACAATCTCAGAAGCCTTCCTTGTTTCTACAACTGAGCCTGAATGTAAACGTTATAGTTCCAAAGTGAAACTGAGTTGTAGCTTCCCAATCGTTAGTATTGAAAAACCATTCTATTTTTTATGTCCATGTTTGTGGGGGTAAGTGGATGCCACACAATTTT